TATTTTGTTTTGTTTTTGTTTTTTGAGACAGGGTCTCACTATATAGTTGAGCCTGATCTGGAACTCACTATGTAGCCCAGGCTGGTCTCAAACTCAGGCCATCTTCCTGCCTCACCCTCCCGAGTTCTGGGATTACAGGCATGCGCCACCATGCCCAGCTGGATATATATATTTAAAAAAATTTTTTTTCTTATTTATTTTTGAAATGAGCTTTTGGGGTTTTTTTTTGTTTGTTTGTTTGTTTTTGGTACTGGGGATTGAACTCTAGACCTTGCACTTGTGAGACAGGCGGTGGAACCACTGAGCTAAATCCCCAGTCCTTTATTTCTTTTTCAATGGTAGCAAAGTTTTATTATTGTTAGGAAAAGAAACAAGCTCTGCAGAGTGAGTTTGGGCCCAGTATAAGTAGGAAAAGATGTACATTCTACAAGGTGAGAGTGGATCACTGTGCGAGAGAACACAGTGGCAAAAACTCCCTGTCGACTGTCCTTTTTGTATCACCCACTCCTCAGGCTGACGTTAGGCCTAGGCCATCCTAGTGAGAACCTGCTTGAGTTTTCATGAGAATTCCACTTCAGGGCCACTCTGTGTAGGTGTCTTAGGATTTTGTAATTAACAGGTTGTGTCTCCTTCCCCAGACAGCTTTGCCACGCCTTAGTCATTTCCCCGTATTTCCTCCTGAGAGATGCAGATCCTCGTAATTCTTTACGGAGTGCTGAGGGACTGGAGGACTCTGTTTCCTGCATCTTCTTCAGACTGGAAGAGGCTGTTGACCGTACCTGCTGGGGATTGTACACTCTCGAACTACCTTGGGGCATGTGTCTCTCTGTCTGGGTTGGAGAAAAGAAACCTATCAGAAGCCAGAAAAAGAGTTATCTCTATTGAGGTATCTGACGGGAGAAAGAGAGTAACTTTACGGCCATACTCTAAATGAAATAAATAGGACACACGTGTAAATGCTATATAGTTTCTCTGGTGTGAGAAACTGAAAGTGTAAATAAGGACCAAATTGTACAATAGTAATGTGAAATAGGAAGAAAAGATCCAAAGGGGAAGGGGAAGTGAGAGGGAGAAGGGAAAGAAAAGAAGAGGGGTCTGGGGATTTGGCTCAATTTCCGCTGCTTTGCAAAGCACAAGGGCCTGAGTTTGATTCCCCGTTAGCACAAAAAAAAGAGAGAGAAAGGTATAAATATGAGAAAGGGAGAAAATGGAAACAAAGTCTTTGTAAATAGGGAGGAATGGGGAAAAAATAACCAAGATATGTCATGTAAAGGAACAAATTTCCAGTGATGATTTGGGTATTGTATAATTTAGGTGTTGTATAACTAAAATGTACCAGTAAGCATATTGATTATGTTGAGGGTACAGAACCCAAATATGAGGAGCAGGACAAATTTCCATGCTTTTTATGAAGAACACAGTATGGCAGAGAGGGAGGTTAAATTATTGAGAGCTTGAAGTAATGAAATAATTGAATTGGCTCACCTGTAACATCTAGTGTAACGCAGGGTCCCTCACAGAAAATAGTAATGTCCGTGGACAGGGGCATTGTAGGGTCCCTTGGGCCTCTTCAGAGCAGGATATGAGGGAGTTGGCCGATCTCGCCCCTCTCTGAGATCAGCAGGGACAGTCAAACCTCCACTACCATGAGCCAGGCTCATTGGGTGCCTTACACTCAGGGCAGGGCCCAGGTAGTGCATGCAGTGGCATGGTGCAGTTGTGTGCACAGTGTCCAGACTTCTTGCCTTTGAAACAGAAATTCTTTCTTTGACTCTCTTTGTGTTTTTCCTTAGACAATCTGAGTGAGTAGCAGACTCAGAATTAAGGTTTCCTGATTCAATCCATGCCTTTTCTTTTTTCTTTCTTTTTTTTTTTAATGGTACCAGGAATCAAACTCAGGACCTTGCACTTGTGAGGCAGGCACGGTGCCACTGAGTTAAATAATTCCTAGTCTGCCTTTTCTTTTTTTAAAAGTAAAATGTGACAGCAATAATCTTAGCCATTCTCTTTTGACACCCATCCAGATTGTAATTGTTGCACACAGAAAAGGCCATTTCTAGCAGTTGGGTCTTAAGTATCTGGGGTTCCATCTGAAGTTTCTTCATTAAACAGATGGGAGAGACCCCTGTTCCCCTGAGATACAGATGGCACTCAGCACAGGATCATCAAAAGTTCCTCTCTCTTCCTCAGGGGTCACTCTTAGATATCATAGTTTCTGGGCTTTTCCTGAGATAAAGGGTCAAAAAAGCCTGAACGCAGGGATTTCATTTCGCCACCTTAGTTTTTGTTTTGGGGTTTGTTTGTTTGTTTTGGCACTGGGGATTGAACTCAGGACTTTGTGCCTGGGAGACAGACAGCAGCACCATTGAGCTAAATCTCCAGCCCTCATTTCGCCTTCTGTGATATCCGCAGAGACAGTTTTAACTGGAAAATACGATTTTTTCCCTCATTGATTTTAGTGAGTGAACTCTTCTCAGCATTTGTTCTGCCACCTTCCTTGTTTAGGCTGCCATTGTATTTTGCTTGTACTCAGTATTATAACCTTATAACTGATCACCCTGTTCCATCCTGCTGCTTTGTAGTTCTTTTCTGTCTGTAGCTAGAATTATTATGGTTAAAGAAGTAAGTCAGGCTAAGTGTGGTGGCGCATGCCCATAATTCCATGTCTGAGAGGCTGAGGTGAGAGAATTGAAAGTTTGAGTCCAGCCTGGCTGACTTGGTGAGACCCTGTCTTTAAAGAAAAAATAAAAAGGACTGCTTTTCAACCCAGTATTACCCCACCATACCCCCTGCTGCGGCCACCAAAATGGTGTCATTTCTTAGCCAAATCTTTGAATATATTTGCTTATTATTTATTGAGATCTCAAATCTATACACACACAGAACAAGGTCAGAAGAGACCTGGCCTGTGGCTGCCTCTCTGACCTCGTTTTGTGCTACTCATCTTAGTTACTGGGCTTCAGAGAAAACTACCTCTTGGTTGTTCATTGACTACATTAAATATTCTACTGTCTTAGGGTCTTTGGACTTGGCATTTTTTATATCTAGAATGCTTTCCTAAGGGGGTTGTGATACACTTTGCATTCTTCAGGTCTTTACTAAATGTCACCTTAGAAGGGATCTTCTTGATTGGCGTATGTGCAATAGTATGGACTCGGTTACCTTGCTCATTCTCTTTTACTCAACTTTTCTTTGTTTACAACCCTTGTGACCCCTTGACCAATATTCATTTATAAATGTGTTATTATCTCCCACCATCTACTATTGGAATATAAGGCTTATTTGAAAGAAGGTTTTTTGTTTTGTAGTTGAATTCTCAATAAATTTTGGTGAATGAATAAGGAAATTCCTCTGAAGATATCAGTGGTAGATTGCTTATTTAATTAATTATTTATTTTTGCAGCATCGTGGGTTATGTCTAGGGCCAAGCCCTGTACCACTGAGCTGTACCCCCAGCCTAGTGGTAGATGTTTTAAAATCATTTTCTTCTGTCTCATATTGTTTCTTTCTTGTGAGGCAGGTGGCAGAACCACTGAGCTAAATCCCTGGCCCATATTATTTCTATTTTTGTTGGTCTTTTTGTTTTAATTTGTCTCATGTTGGAAATGTTCTCAGCTATTTGATAGCCCTTGGTGTTTTGTCTTACTTAAAGAATGAGGAATGAAAGGATTAGTGAACTGCTCTATCACTGAGTGGTCCTTTTCACTAATTGCTTTTATTATAAGTTGATATGCAATGAGCTAACATTTGTGGAGGAAAAATCCTGGATGTCTACAATAGTAGTTTTTTTGTGTGTGTGTGGTTTTTTGAGACAGGGTCTCACTGTGTAATTGAGACTGACATGGAACTCACAGTGATCCTCCTGCCTCAGCCTCCCTGGTGCTGGGATTACAGGTGTGAGCCACCACACCCAGCTTACAAAAGTAGCTTTTTTCTTGGGATTAATCAATAACTCCAAAGAAAAATGCTTGAATCCTCTACTGGGAGAAGAGAAAGGGAAGGTGTCTGGAGATTTATTGGGTATAGTACAAACTGTAAGCTTTCCTTTTGAGTCCATCATGCATTGTTGTGCTTCTCTGTCCCTGGTATATACCTATCTTGAACTTCTTTCTCTCTCAGCTCTTACATCTTCTTGAAAACAAGATTCAGTTGCCCAGCAGAACAACATCTACATCTACAGCTTTATTTCATTATTTTTTTCATCTTTAATATTTATTTTCTTATTTTTTATTTTTTTGGTACCAGGGATCGAACTCAGGACCTTATGCTTGCAAGGCAAGTGGTGGCACTACTGAGCTAAATCCCTGGCCCTCAGCTTTAATATTTAATTCATGCATCATTTAGAATATCCTGTTTATTTTCACATTATCATCAAGATGTGGATCAAAATAGGACAAACATTTAACTAACTTTTTGTTTTTGTTTTTAAGCTAACATTTTTGAATTACTAGTTTTAAAATGTCTGGTGCCAAGGCTTTTATTCAATTCCTAACACCAGCGGGGCCAAAAACAAAAAAATAAAACAAACGGGGCTTAAAGTTTGAAATTTGACACAGGTTTTTCAAAACGGTTGCTCATACTTTTGAGGTCTTTAGTCTTCTGTAAGCATGAAAGGAAATTATACAGCACAGAGAAGACTAGAATAGATGTTTTCAACTCTACTTTGGGCTGGTTAAAGTTTATTGTGTGAACGTAAAACTAATTTATGCCTGTCTTTCCAAGATAATGTTAATAGCACTGTTTTTTCATTCCCAGAATTCTTCTTGTTTGGATGATGAATCAGTCACCCTAATTTTTTAAAAATATTCTTTTTACAGTGAGCATGATTTATCTTTTTATCAGGAAAAAAAATGTTAACTACAAAAAATGCAGGTATGGTGGTGCTTGCCTGTAATCCCAGCACTCAGGAGGCTGAGGCAGGAGGATTGCTGTGCACTCGAGGCCAACCTGGACTATAATAGTGAGTTCAAGGCTAGCCTGAATTACAGAGCAAGACCCTGTCTCAAAAAAAAAAAACAAAAAACAAAAAAACAAAAAAAACCAAAACCTGTCTTACCTTCAATGTACCAATAAAATTAATTAATTAAAAAAAAAACCCAAGTCTTCATTTAAACTGTTCTATGTAGTGATTACATGCCAGCCAGATACAGAATCTCTGTTGTCTTGGGATAGGCAAAGATTTCTTAGATGAAACACTGAAATCATGAACCACAAAAGACACAATTGATACGTTTTATATCAAAATTTAAAACTTGCTGTTTGTAAGACACTGTTAAAAATAAAAGTCCACAGGCTGGGAAGAAATATTAGCCATATGTGTATCTGACATAGAATTTGTTTTTGTACAATATAGGCAAAACTCATTTTACAACCTAATTAAAAAATGAGCAAAAAGCTGGGCATGGTGGTGCATGCCTGTAATCCCAGGGAGGCTGAGGCAGGAGGATCTCTGAGTTCAAGACCAGTCTGGGCTACATAGTGAGTTCCAGGTCAGTCTCAACTACATAGTGAGACCCTGTCTCAAAAAAATGGGCAGGGCCAGGGATTTAGCTCAGTGGTGCTGGCCTGCCTTGGAAGTACAAGGTCCGAATTTAATCTCCGGTACTAAAAACCAGCAGAGGAAACAAAACAACAAGATGGGCGAAAGAATGAACGTGTAGGATACATGAATGGCCAATAAGTACGTGAAAAAGTGGCTCAAAATCATTATTATCATGGAAGTGCAACCATAATGAGATATCAAATCCTGGTTGAAATGGCTCAGATTAAAAAAGAATGATGTACCAATATTGGTGAGGATGTGTAGCTGTTGGAATTCTGCCTGTGGGAGTGTAAAATTGTACAAACCCTTGGATAACTGTTGTGCAGTTTCTAATAACCTATACCTATCCTGTGACCCAACAATTCCACTGGTATTTAACCAGGGCAAATGAAAACATGCCTTGAGAAAGACTTATTTGTGAATCCTCACAGCAAGTTTATACCTAATAACCCCAAACTAAGAACAGTCCAGATGTCTCTCCGAAGGTGAGTAACAGTGACGGTTTATCTGTAGAGTGGAGTACTGTTCACTTACAAGAAGATGTGAATCACAAATACCTATACAACATGGTTGAATTTGTTAAAAATGGATAGAATACAAGCTCCAGGCACTAAAGAGTACTTCTCATTTTTGGAGTCAAGGTATTGCTATGTAGTGCTAGCTGGCCTTGAACTCTGTAGCCCTCCCGCTTTCATCTGAGTGCTGGATTACAAGTGTGTACCACCACACCCAGCAAAACTACTTTATGTGGCTCCATTTACATGAAATTCTAAACAGTGCAAACTACTAAGGGTAATAGAAAGCAGGTCAGTGGTTGGCCAGCAATAGAGAGAAAGATTGAAGAAGGCACAAAGGCCTTTTTGGAAGTGAAGTGAATGTTTTGTGTCTTGTTTGCTGTGGTGGATACACAGGTTTATACATTTGTTGTCAAACCTTATGGTTAAAATTGGTACAGTTTATTTTTTGTAAATTGTACCTCAAAATTCATTAAAAGTATGCTAACTAGTTTACTCTTTTACAGTTCTTCCTGGTTTATTTATTTATTTATTTGGTACCGGGGATCGAACTCAGGACCTTGTGCTTTCTAGGCAGGCGGCAGAACCACTGAGCCAAATCCCCGGTCCTGTTTTAAATCTTCATAAACTTTTTTGGAGTTTAAGTTATTGTCTTTCTTGTGTCTTCATTTTGACTGTTTTTTCTTTTTCTTTTTTTTTTTTTAAACTAGACTATATAGAAGATGTATCAACTTTTGGGTGAATATATATTATCTTTGAGACATGGTATAAACTGATCTCTGGTAATCTTTGACACTTAAGTGCTTTGTGTATCTATGTATTTATAAAATAAATCCATCTCTTTTAAGTATAAGGGAAAAACACCTCCATTTGAGTTAGTTAAGCCTTATTGATCTTTGGGTATAATTTTTCCCCGCAGTGGCCCGTACATGTAATTTGATCCTGATCGTTCTGGATGTCCTGAAACCCTTGGGACACAAGAAGATAATTGAAAACGAGCTGGAAGGCTTTGGCATTCGCTTGAATAGCAAACCTCCTAACATTGGCTTTAAGAAGAAAGACAAGGGAGGCATTAATCTCACAGCCACTGTAAGTGGGGAAGATGACATGAGGCTACTGCAGGGACTAGAGTAGAGAGTAGATTGAGGTGCATGGATATTGAATTTGGAAATGTCCTGGCTTTCCCCTGCTGTAATTGAGATAATATAATGATACAGTAATGACCGACAAACACTTAGGGTTAGGGTGGGAGTCATTCTTACATTGGGAATTTCATTTTCCTCTTTGAATTTTCTGTGTGGGGTAGTATAGTAGTGTAGACTAATCTTATGCTTGTATGAAGTAGCTGTCTGCCAATATCCTGTGTTTTCATTCATTTAACACAAATTTATGGAGTACCTGCAGGGGCCAAGCATCATCATCATCATCATCATCATCATCATTTATTTATTAATTTATTAATTTGTTTATTTTTGGTACTGGGATTGGACTCAGGTCCTTGCGCTTGCAAGGCAGGTGGCAGCACCACTGAGCTAAATCCCCAGCCCATGCTAAGCATTATTTTAGAACATGGGAATTGGTGGTGGTGGTGGTAGTGGGAGAGCAGAAGTGAGAGCAAGGTAGACAAAATTACTACTCTTGGGTAAAGTAGCAAATCAAATTATTGAGTAAAATACAGTACATAAGACAATGATAAATCTAAGATCAAAAGTAAACTAGAGGAAGAGGATAAGGTTGGTGTGGTTGCATTTTTAAATGCATTGGTTGCAGAAGCCTGCTTAGATGATAAAAAGTTATGCTCTAACTGCAGGTCCCTGAAGTAGAACACATCCTTGTGCGGCTGAGGAACAAGAGAGTGAGAGAGTAGAAGAGTAGTTATGAGATGAAGTTATAACATAGGGCTATGATATGCTTTTACTTTAGGGGATTAATGGACTGTTGCTTGGATCTTGAACCATTGAGTAAGTATGACTTGACTTAGATTTTAATGGAATCATAACGGCTGTTGTGTTGAGAAGTAGATTGAATTGAGTAACACAGAAGCAGGAGGATCGCTGTGAGTTAGTTGGAGGCAAGTCTGAGCTACATAGTGAGTTCCAGGCCAGCCAGCACTACCAAAAAAAGAGAAAGGAACAGAGAAATCATAGTTCTTAAGCTCGTATAATAATTGAATCAAAAAGTGATAGCTTCTTAGATCTCGGTTGTAACAAAGTGGGAAATGGGAAGTGACTGTGGAAAGACTTTGAAAGTAGTCTGTTAGGCAGTATAGTTGGTTTGGATTATGGGTTATGAGAGAAAGATGCAGAGATGACAGATTTTTGTTTTGAACTAGAGAAATGAAAAATCTTTTTACTAAAATTGTAGGACTTTGAGTAGAATTAATTTGGAGGGGAGAGGAAGATCAGATTAGGATTGAGATGCCAGTTAGACATCTAAGTGTTTTTGTTAGAAAGGCATATGAGAAACTTGTCTGGAGATATATTTGGAGATTATCAATTTAAAAGTCAGAAGCCTAGCTGAGATTACTAAATAAATGAGAATAAATAGAAAAGACAAGATGTTTAAGGAAGGAAGATTTTTCAAAGAAGGAAAACCAGAAAAGTTTCAAATCTTGGAAGCCAAGTAAATTGCTTCAGATTTAAGCTGTTCTGCCCAAAAAAATCTTTCTGTTATCCTATTATTATAATGTTTAAATTTGACCATTCAGGTTGTTGCTGTTGTCCTTACCACAGTAAGAAGTGCATCCCATAGGGCTGTGGCCTAGCATGCAGTGGGGCTGCCAAGGCAAAAAAACTTACATAAAACTTGGCATCTTTACCACCTTTAAGCATATAGGTCAGTGTTATTCAGCATACAGGACAGGGGTACTGTGGCTCCAGAGACAGAACAGGATTATCACTGACAGCCAGCCAGGGCCGTGAAAGACATTGCCTAGGGCAAGGTGGGGGACCTCTCTGAGCAGATATTTGGAGGGGGTATCCCCGGGCCACTCCCCTCCCCCATCAAGGACACTGCTCTCCTCATAGGTTCTAACCCAAACCAAAGAAAAGAAAACGAACAAGCAAGCATGCTTCATGGGGTGTGGTGGCACACAGGCCTATAATCCCAGCCCTGGGGAAGCTAAGAAAGGCAGGAGGATTGCCACTAGTTTGAGGCCAGCCTGGGAATCATAGTGAGTTGTAAGTCCCTCTCTCTTAAAAAAAAAATTTTTTTTATTAGCCAGGCATGGTGGCGCACGTGTGTAATCCCAGCACTGGGGAGGCTGAGGCAGGAAGATTGCTGTGAGTTCAAGACCAGCCTGGGCTACATAGTGAGTTCCAGGTCAGTCTCAACTACATAGTGAGATGCTGTCTCAAAAAAAAAAAAAAAATTTATTTTTTTGAGTATTCACGATTCTTTGCTATTATGAAGTACAACACAATGGGTGGCTTAAGCAACAGAAATTTATTTGTCATAATTCTAGAGGCCTGAAGTCAACGTGCTGACAATGTAGGTATTAGATTAGGACCCCACACTAATGACCTTACTCTAAGTATCTCTTCAAAGTCCCTCTCTCCAAATGTAGTCCCATTCTAAGATACTGAAGGTAGGACTTCAGTATACGAATTATAAGGGAGTAAGATAGGAGTGAGGGGAAAGAGGTGGACCATGGACACACATTTTAGTCTCTTAACACCGTCCTTTGGATTTGGAAAGGATTTTAGTGTTTATTTCTTACTAAAATTAGCTTCTCCTATCCAGGGTATTGTTTTTAATAATAACTTTGCACCTTATCTAGAATTATCCAGGTACATACATGAGTATCTGCCCCCACCCTCTGACCAGTCGTTGTTTCCTATGCTTATTCAGTGCCCTCAGAGTGAACTGGATGCCGAAACTGTGAAGAGCATTCTGGCTGAATACAAAATTCATAATGCCGATGTAACTTTGCGTAGTGATGCCACAGCTGATGACCTCATTGATGTGGTGGAAGGAAACAGGTATGGACTAAGCACTCTGACCCTGATTTTGACTTTAAAAGATTGTGATGAAAGCCAGGCGTGGTGGCGCGCTCCTCTAATGCCAGCACCCAGGAGGCTGAGGCAGTAGCATTGCCATGAGTTCAAGGGCAGCCTGGACTACATAGTCACACCCTGTCTCAAAAATAAAAAAGCAGGGCGGGGGATTTGGCTCAGTGAGCACCATGCCTGCCTTGCAATCGCAAGGTTCTGAGTTTAATCCCCAGTACCAAAAAAGCAAACAAAGGTGATAGAAACAATGTTGGATCCTGAATTTGGCAAATGTGGATTCCCACTTCAGTGCTGTTCGGTGATGGTCTTAATTTCTGACATTTGTCCTTGCCCTCTTGCTCTACAATTCGATAGACGATTGACTTCTCCATTTCAGTTATTTGCTATGATGTCCTCTAAGCTTTCTTTTCTTTTTCTTCCTTTCTTTTTAAAATTAGGTTTATTGGACAGTGTTGCCTAGAGCACATTAATCCCACACGTCAAAAGACATTGGGCAGGGGGCCCCTGTTTAAGCTTTTTCACGTGATGATTGAAAAAGTAGATAAGTCCGCTCTCCCAGAATTGATCCTTGTGAAAAATCTTATAGGCCGTACTACAGAAGTGAAAGAAGGCCAGGTTGCATCTGTTATTTCCAAACTTGAGTGTGTCGTTGAAACCCTATTCATGGAATATTATTATTATTATTAACACTTTAATAATTTAAGGCACTGTTAAAGTTACTCAGTATTTGGATATAATGATTTTAGTTGCTTTTCTGTTGATTTGTTTGGTGAATTTGAAAACTAAACCCCTTTGAGTTTATCATTTTACAAGTGAGGCCTGAGAAAGTGAAAGTGAGGCCTGAAGCCTGAGAAGTTATGCCTTGCCTAATTATTTGTAATCGTAGCTGCCATACTGATTGGGCACTAGGATTATAACATGACCAGATACTATGCTTAACTTTTTAAAAAATTTTAGTCATTGAAAATTAGGAAATATATTAAAGAGTCTATATTAACAAAAAATTATGAAATACGCTGTCAGAAATTGTACTTACTTTTCAGTGCTGGGTATTTAACCTAGGACTCCCTGTTTGCTAGGCAAGCACACTACCACTTAGTTACATCCCTAACCCTTTTATACTTGAATTTGGCTTTGTAGGCAACCATTCTCCCAGGAGCTAGCTTCATACATGGAACCAGGGTCGGAGTTTTGTTATCTCTCAACCTATAGTTCAGTCTTTCTTTGGGCTTTGGACTTATTTTAGTAGGAAGCTTTTGTTTTGTAATTATTTTATTTTCTTTCTTGAGAGCCTCTCATTTGGGATCTAGGTATATATGGGGTTACTGGTACTTGGATTGACAATTTTGTTAACTCTAGACTCACTCCATATTTTTCCTCTACTTCTGTAGAGTGTATATCCCCTGTATCTATGTATTAAACAAGATTGACCAGATCTCTATTGAGGAATTGGACATCATCTATAAAGTGCCACACTGTGTACCCATCTCTGCCCATCACCGCTGGAATTTTGATGATCTGTTGGAAAAGATCTGGGACTATCTGAAACTAGTAAGAATGTAAGTACTTGTGTGGTTGGGGTAATGTTGCTCTAGGAATTAAATCAGGCTGTCCTAAAATGATATACTCTGGGGTTTATTCGCAAAATCTGATTCTGTTTTGGAAATAGAAGTAAATTGGTTCTTTTCTTCTACTCTGCGTCATAATGAGGATGTTTTCTTCCTCAGTTTGCATGTTATCCTGGTCTCATCTCAGGGGTAATGGAGGGTTAGTGTGCATTCAGCCAGTCTTAAAGTGGCAACCTTTGTGCCTGCCCTCTCTTCTAGCTACACCAAACCCAAAGGCCAGTTACCAGATTATACATCTCCTGTGGTGCTGCCTTACTCCAGGACCACTGTGGAGGATTTCTGCATGAAGATTCACAAAAATCTTATCAAAGAATTTAAATAGTAAGTATCATGGGCCTGTGGCAACTCCTTTTCTTCTCAAGCTACGAATTTCACTAATTTATTAGAGTAGCTTTAAATAAACCAGGTAGCAGGGAGGCTTCATAGTGTGTGTTTGCCTTGAATTCCAGTGCTTTCCTCTCCCCTCCTCTCCCTTCCCCTGAATTTCAGTGTTTGTTTCCCTTCCCTCCTCTTCTCTCTTCTCTTCCTTTTTTTTTTTTTTTTTTTTTTTTTTTTTTTTTTTTTTTTTTTTTTTTTTGGCAGTACCAGGGATCAACTCAGGGCCTGTGCTTGCCAGGCAGGCACAGCACCACTGAACTAAATCCCTGGCCCTTCCACAGTGTTTTCTTAAAATAATACTTAGTGCAAGCTGAAGTTTAGAATCCTCTTCAGGTTAGGAGGGCTTGATTGTACAAAGGTCCTGACCTGCCCTCATTAATTCATCTTCCTTTTAACAGAGTCAGATATTTTTTTCCTTTCAAGATTTTAACAGTCTCCACTGGGCATGAGTCCTCCTCTAAACTGTAAGCACGGGCTGAGCGTGGTTGTACACACCTGTAATCCCAGCACTTGGGAGGCTAAGGCTGGAGGATTGCCATGAAGTTCAAGGCCAACCTAAACTACATAGTAAGACTCTGTCTCAAAATACGAAAAAACAAACTTTAAGCCTGGGCCCAGTTCTCCTACTCTTTGTCATACTTTCTTTTTTCTTTTCAGTATCGGGAATTGAACACAGGACCTGTGCCTGCAAGGCAGGTGTGGTGCCACTAAGTTAAATCCTCTGCCCTCTTTCTCATACTTTTATTGCTGATTGATGCTGCAAAAAATTTTACGTTTTATTTTGAACTAATTGTAGACTTACAGAAGAGTTGCAAAAGTAGTACAAAGTGTTCCTTTTATCCTTCACTTTTTTCATAATGCTAACAGCTCACAATACCTTCATACAGTTATCTGAATAAGAGATTAACATTGATAAAATATTAACTAAACTACAGACCTTACTTGAATTTTACTTTACTCCCTACCAGTGTCTTTTTTTTGTGCTCCTCGAACCTGCATGACATCAAGTTTTATTTCTCTTTAGTTTTCCAGTAATATTTCCTTGGACTGTCATTGTCTTTGATGACTATGACACTTTTAAAGAATGCTTTGTATTCTCTCTCTCTCTCTCTCTCTCTCTCTCTCTTGGCTTCTTGCCATTTATTTTCCTGGAGGACGTATGTTTGAACCTAGGGCCTCCTGTAAGCTAGGCAAGCACTCTACCACTAAGCTTTATACCCTGTGTAAATCTTTTCAAAATTTTTGTCTGCTGATTTTAGCATCTCTCTGTGGGCTTGTCTTCAACATTTATTATTCTTATATTTGCCTAATGGTGATGCTTTATTTTTGTTTTTCATTTCATATTTATTTATTGCTACTCTACTGTGAGCTACAGATGTCACTTCTCTATTCCATAATTTATTTATATCAATATGAGCTCTTGGGTATTTAATTTATTCTATAAGCTACAATCCAATATTATCATTATTTTGTTGCTCAAATTTTTCAAGCTTTGACCATTAGGAATTCTTTCCTGTTGGGTCCTATGTTTATTTCATAAACTGCATCTTTTCTCTTAAGCCTTTGCTTACTTTTTGGCACTAGGTGTTCATGGTTGATTTTTGATTTTTGCGTGCACCTGCCCTGGAATCAGTGACTCCTCCAAGGAGCCCTAGTTTGCAAGATATGGGTACTAGGTATACTCATTTGTAGTAGGTTGTCATTGCTTGCTGTAGGCCCACTCAGCAGCAGGACTAGGAAATATATATGAATACTAAGTCACGATTGCATGCACATCTATAGTTTTGTATTTCTCTTAACCCTTCCTCCCTCCCCCTTCCTCTTTCTCTCGGTCCTCTCTCAAAAACTGAGGGTAGGGCCAGGGGGACATTTGGCTCAGTAGTTCTGCCGCCTGCCTCGCAAGTGGAAGGGCCGAAGTTCCATCCCTGGTACCAAAAAAAAAAAAAAAAAAAAAAGCTGACTGTATATTCTTATGTTTTATTCCAATTAAGTACCATAGGGATTGAACTCGAGACCTTGTGCTTGCGAGGCAGGTGGCGGCACCACTGAGCTAAATCCCTGGCCCTATTTTCCTCCATTTCTTATTTCTTGCTTTTTTTTCTCCACAAATGAGAGATGCTACTGTCATTATCTATAAACTACGTATTTAAAAATTCTAGTATATAATCAGACCTCTTTGTCTGTGGGTTCTGTGCATGGATTTAACCAACTGCAGATTTGAAAATTAGTTGAAAAAAATTTCATGTGTACAGAGCATACACAGACTTTTTTGTAGCATGACAGTAATTTACATTTGGTATCATACATATTTAGAAAAGATTTAAAGTATGGAGGAGGATGTGTATAGGTTATGTGCAAACACTATCCTATGGTATATGAGACTTATCTGCAAGTTTTCTTAGGAGGAGGGTGCCAGAATAAGCGTCCCTCAGATATGGAGGGATAATTGTATAATTTTAAGTAGAATTTTATTCAGTCACTGTCTTCCTGTTTTTTACTTGTTTATTTCACACATAGCTTTTTTTTGGGTACTGGGGATTGAACTTGGGACCTTGTGCTTGCAAGGCAGGCAGCAGCACCACTGAGCTAAATCCCCACCCTATTTTGTATCTTTAGTTGTACTGTCATGGTTGCTTCAAGGTCCTGAATTGATTCAAACATTTACCTTTCATGGTCATCTGGTGAAGAAGGTGGATGAGGTCGCACCATAATGGTTTATGGATTTTTGAGACAGGGTCTTCCTGTAGTTCAGGCTGGCCTTGACCTCACACTGTAGCCCACGCTGGCTTTTAACTCACAGTGATCCTCCTGGCTTAGCCTCCCAAGTGCTGGGATACAGGTGTGTGTCACCATGCCCAGCTGACATCATAATGTTTTCATGAAGCTGCTTTTCTGTTGGATGGTACTTGGCATCTGCCTTAACTGTATTTTTTTTTTTAATCACACCTTGAAAAAACACAATAGAATTTCTACACAGCTTCAGAAAGTGGCAAAAATAGTGGGATGTGTTTGAAGTAAGGGGCAGGACTGTTTTGATTTGGATTACAGCAGTGTGCCTATAATGAACTTTTAAAATTTAAACACTATTATTTTATCAGACCCTATATGTGTATATATATTTTATACTTTGATTATTCTATATATGTAAAATATGTAATATATATAAGCTTTTTTTCCCAGATGGTACTGGGGATTGAACCCAAGGGTGCTCTACCACTGAGCTACACCCCTAGCCTATTCTATTTTTTATTTTGAGAAAATTTCTTGCCAAGTTACCCAGGTTGGACTTGAACTTAGAATCCTTTTGCTTCAGTGTCCTTAGTAGCTGGAATTACAAGTGTGTGGCCACCATGCTTGACTTTTTTATTTATATGTGTGTGTGT